TTGTTCATACTGACGGGGTGAATGGCAAACCAGCTAGTAAATAATCAAAAGAGGAAAACTGTTGGGAAAGTATTTACTTATTTAATTACTTAGTTACTACTTACTAGTATGCCACCCATTCTCAGAGGCTCTAGGCAGCTAATCATATGATTTAACACCCCACCCCCAAACCCTATCTATCATCTCCATCTCTCTCTCTCTCTCTCTCTCTCTCATATATATAATTCAGTCATGCATCCTTCAGACCCCACCTGCATATGGTAAAGCCTCCTTCTCCTGTGCAGGCCAGAAGAGAACATTTTTATAAGTTTCCTGAAGTACAGGAGGGATGAAGTGCCTGAAACTTCATTGGGAGGGAGTTCCAGAGAATGGGGCACTGATGGAAAAAGCCTGCCTCTGAGGCCCTGTCAAATAACAATCCTGCAGGGATGGGACCTGGAGATCTTTGACCCACTGATCATCGAGATCTGATTGGATGGATAGATGAATGCCAGAGTTTCTCAGAATCCTGGATAAGAGCCATATAGGACTTTAAAGATCACAGCTAATATCTTGGATCTCACTCAGAAGACCACTCGCAAACAATGGAGCTCCTGTAGCAGAGAGATCACCCAAATATATTTGGGCACATCCATCACTGCCTTGGCTAACATTTTACACCAGCTGTAGCTTCCAGACGTTCTTCAAGGGCAGCCTCATTTAGACTGCTTTATAGTAATCCAACTGGAAGGTGAGTAGGGTATGAATGGCCATGAGCAGGACCTGATGATCAAGAATGGCTGCAACTGGCACACCAGATATAATGGAAATGCACAAACCTCTCAAGACAATGTAATGATTTCTCTAGCCATTAATGTCAGCAAGTTCATCTTAGAATCATGATGTTAAATAAATTTACAGGATCAGATTCAGCTTAGTTATCATTTAAAGAACTAAATAAAACCAGAGTTGCAGTTTCAATACCTGTGGAGGATGCCAATCTGGAAATTCCTTGGGTATGGTCTTATTTTCCTTCCTCTGTTCTTCACCCCACAAGTCAGCATCTCTCAACTCTGCCATATTTTCTTTCCTTCACCCACCAGTCTGCCCACCACTAACTTCATCTTCACCAACTCATCAGACCAAATATGAAGTAGTAGAAAAGTGTTGGACTTGAAGCAGGAAGACCAAGGTTCAAGACTACCTTTGACCATTCAAGCTCACAGGTTGACTTTGGGCCAGTCACTCTCTCCCTCATCCCAACCTACCTCAATATACCAGTCTTCTTGAGCTCCTATATATGTTGGCTATAACTAAAGCAATCATGTAATTGCCCTGCTGGGAATACAATGGATACAGCCTGCCTGGGAAGGGTCCCTTACTGTTTTCAAAGGAGTTCTCACCTAAACATTCCAATCTCTTGGCCATTATCTGCAACCATTTTCAGCACCATCATTTCTTTGTCTGTGTTTGATGAATACCTGGAAAGCGGGGTAGGGGGGAAGGGGGGGAGAAAAGAGAGACTTTCACGGCAACTGGAGTATTTAATTCTGGAGTCAGAAGCAAACATTTACAGATAGGTTACACAGGACACAATTCCTTGGGGAGGTCTCTTGTACATCCACCCATATACACACTTCTAATGTCATGGAGATTATAGAAGAATACTGTCATGCTGTAGAAAGGCCTTGTCAGGTATATGCCAAATTCCATTATTATATTGCTCTGGTTTATCAATTAATCATGCTTTATGGCTATATCTATTATGTCATTATTATACCATGATGTTTTGTTTTCTATAAACTGCTGAATGACGTAAGTTTCAGGTGGTTTAAAAAGAATAAATAAATGAATGGCCCAGAAAGAGCCCGAAAGGGAGTGGAAGAAGGAGAAAAGAGATAGCACCTTCTAAATATCTAGTCCTCTCCTTCTGGGCACGAATGCATTTTGGAAAGCAATTGGGGAAAACCAACCATGAAAGGAGGAACAGGATCTATGGAGAAAGTGGTGCTAAAACTCTACCAAAACCCGAAGCCAACTTCATTGTATTGTTCTTGTTAAAGGCAACCAGAAGGGAAGCCAGAACAGGGCGGCTTTCCGATGCCTCCGTGTATACTGTCTGTCATGATTTTTTGTTTTCATTTTGTCTACAAGCCCCAAAGACTAGAAATGGTGTTTCTGCTGCACCTGTGAGGTTCTCTCACAGCCCTAACTGAGGAGGCAGAAGAGAAAGCTCAGTTTGATCATGGCACGAAACCTCAGTGAAACACCACTTGAATAATTCTGCAGAGAGTCACAAGCTGTGTCATATTTTAAGAACAGCAACCCAATTCCAAAAGTGCCCACCAGCCCTCAAACACTTGCCTCCTCCCACTCTAGAACTAGAGTCTAGTCTAGAACTAGAGTTGGTTCCCCAAGGACTGTCAAATGGCCTTTCTGTTTCCATTGATAGAACAGAGGCAGAGCTATCCGATACAAGCTGCAATGTTGACAATGTTGACATTAATACTACAGTGTACAGTGGTACCTCTAAGTACGAACTTAATCCGTTCCGTGACTCTGATCGCAAGTCGAGTTGGTTGCAAGTCGAGGTAAATTTTCCCATAAGATTCAAGGTAATTACTGTTAATCCGTTCCAGTGTCCGTGGACCACGCGTCAGGGGCGGAAAAACGGCCGCGGACCACGCGGCAGGGCGGAAAAATGGCCCGGACCACGTGTCAGGGGCGGAAAAATGGCCACGGACCACGTGGAAAGGGTGGAAAATGGCTGCGGATCCAGTTCGTAAGTCGAGGCGAGTTCATAAGTAGAGGTAAATTTTTGGGGCTGGAGCTGGTCATATCTCGAAAGATTCGTAAGTAGGGGTGTTCGTAAGTAGAGGTACCACTGTATTAACTACAGAAGAGAGTGAACTTCCTCGTTATTTGTGTGCTAATTTTGGTCATGCCAAATTTGAAACGTTTAATTGGAGGGGGGAAATGATTTTTCCCCAGTTGTTTTTAGTTTTCTTTTTCTACAAGATTAACATCGGAAGATTGGTTAGCAGTAGGATATCAGTTTCTGTGTATGCACATTGTTCCTTGTCCCAAAGGGCTAAACAACTGGTTCTCACAGATAAGGTTGGGTTATTTATTTTCACTGCTCTTCTGGCCAAAAGTTTTAATTCCCTGCTGTTGTTTACTTTTATATAAGGAATGGATGCATTCTATTAACTAAAAGCAGAGTTGGTTAATACAGGCAGTCCTTGCTTACTGACAGTAACTGGGATGGGGAAGTCCGTAGCTAAGCAACCCAGTTGTAAGGTACAACAGCATGTGACCACATTGACTTGCAATGGCAGTTCCAGCAGTCCCAGTTGCCATTTGTAAGCAAATCCTGTCTAGTTGCAGTGTCCTGTGGTCATGTGATCACCATTTGCAAACTCCTGCTGGCTTTCCCATTGATTTTGTTGTTGGAAGCTGGCAGGGAAGGTCGCAAATGGCAATCATGTGATAGCAGGGTGATGCGACATTGCAATTGGAAGCCAGTTGCTGAGCACCTGAATTGCGATGATGTGACCACGGGGATACTCCAACAGCTAGAACTACAAGGACCTGTTCTAAGTCTCCCTCCTTCAGTGCCATGATTAACTTTGAACAGCCACTGAATGAGTGCACGTTAAATGAGGACTACCTGTATTACTCATTGTTTATACACATTTTTGCAATTTTGCAAAATACACATCATGTCTCATAGACTAGTCATTGTTCTCTCTCTCTCTTTCTCTGTCTTGGAGCTATGTTTATATACAACTTTAGCAAGTCTCCTCTTAAATAAAAATCAGATATGTTCATTATATCTCTAATAGGGGGAGATCTAAAGCCAATTCTCGATCTTCCTGAGAAGACAATGCATTGATGGGCCATCTCTCCTTAAAGGTTTCCCTATTTTCAGCTCTGACTGATCGAATGGTGTCTACAATTTTTGTGCTGAAAATAAAGGCCACCTAGTGCCCTTCCAACAGCCTGCCTGCCTAACAACTTGTACCTTGAGATGCTTTAGACTCTGAGTCTCACAGCCCTATGTTATTGGCCATAAGAGATGCAACTATTAGGAGTTGGTCCAAAGCAAGTGTAGGACACAAAACAGGAATAGGGTAAAAAATGAACAAAACAATAAGTCATAGTATTCCAGGTACGGCTCCTATAAAATACCTATAAAATACCTATAGAATTCTTTTTTTTTTTTTTGAGAAAAATCTACAAATAATTGCTTAGAACAATGTTTCTCAACCTTGGCAACTTTAAGCTGTGTGGATTTCAACATGCTGGAGGGAATTCCGGGAGCTGAAGTCCATACAGCATAAATTTGCTAAAGTTGAGAAATTGTGATGGACTGGAATGGAGGAAGGGGGGTGAAAATGGTGCTCTCGTCTCTGGAGATAAGCGGAGAAAGCTGGCGCATCCCTAAACATTCCAGAAGATAGTAGAGACTTGTGGCTGGGAACCACTGGTCAGTCTGAGAAGATTCCGTAAACAAGCACTAGCTAATAAACCTTGCTGATTGAACCTGCACGGTCTCCAGGAGTTCCT